CTGGATCTTCAGGCTCGCTTGCTCCGCTACCAAGTTAAACTGTAAGACCCTGAGCGTTCACGCTTTTCCTGCTTAAGCCAAAGGCGCTGCATAGTCATTCTATACATTCTATGTGCCGTAGCCTAGGCTCTCCAAAGGTGTGGGCGTTCTATGTACAAATCTTAACACGTTTACTCTCACCCCTGACGGGGAAGAGGTCTTCGGCAGCAATGTCGATGTCGGCCTTTTGGCGTCGCTCATTGATTCTCACAATGCACCCATAGATGTGCAAATGGGGCTCGATGCTGCCATGAACACAGAATGGCAGAAGTATACGGAATTCAATGCCGTTGTCCCTTGCACTGACAAGGAGTTCAATGATCTCGTGAAGGCGGGACATGTTTGCATACGCACAAAAGTGGGTATTGACTGACGGACCAAAACGAACACTTACGCGGCACCCCCGAGTATGTGCCGAAATGGAAGGCCCGATTGGTGGCTTGCGGTAACTTTGAACACATCGGAAACGAAGAAGACATTAGGGCTGACAGCCCGACCGCAGAGCCAGAAGGAATTGCTATCATATGTTCCTGGGCCGTGTCACTTGGTTTGAGGCTCAAAGCAGCCGACATCACCAATGTATATTTCCAGGTCGAGAAACATGAGCATATAGCCCGTGGTAGACGAGGCCTTTGTCACTGGAGCTGTGTTTATGTTCTCGTGCTCATTGAAGAGGGCCTCACGTGTCCACGCATTGCGAATACGCTGGATAAAACTATGTGTATCGTACCCCCAGGTAAACACATCTATTATAAGATCGGGGTTCTTGCTACCCTCGTAGTAGGGGATTAGCTCCAGATCGTGATTATGCACGGTCGCAGACAATGGGCAGTTCAGCACTGGCCCATTCGGTCCTCCACCTGGCATTATAACCAGGGCTCGCCCATGCTATCGGTATGCGGCATGCGGATCGGTAGGTAGCTGGGCGTCAAACTCCGCGAGAGCACGGTGGCTCTCGGCCCCGGTCTTCGGGTGCACTGTGCCACGCAGTGCAGTCTCCGGGTTATCCCCAAATCGCGGCCATTGGAGCTGCCTTGGCCGGCGGGGCTTTCGCCGGCGGCGCTTTGGCCGACCCTTCGTTCGGCCCCATCGCACTTGCCCGCCCGACCTGTCCTCGCTCTGGCAGCGGGACCTTCTCTGGTCTGCGGCTGACGGCCTACGGACGCTCCAGAGCCTACCGTTTGCTAAGTCATCTGCTGCTGTGGCATCTGTGTCAGTGGGCTGTTCGTGCTTAATTAGTAGTGCACGTCTTACAGAGATTTGGAAAAGCTACACTATAATGCGTCTCTTAGTGTTGCTCCGTGCTTCATCTACAGTGCTGTGACTGTGCAAGCTCGCCTGCCCGGCGTGACCTCTGCTCTGCGCGTGTGAGCTGGAGAAACGGCAGCGACATTTCTGTGCATTGGCACGGGGAGACTGGGAATCTGGAACTCCCGTATCAGTCGAGGCTGCCTAGACTGCATGAGTCCTTCGCTTATGTTTATACACAGCACAAACGGGTCCTACAAAGCCTGACCTTTATCACCTCGTCCTCAGACGGTAAACGGATCCCGCAAGTGCCAACTCTCAAATCCTTGGCTATCCCAAGTTGCGCCTGCGCATACAATGAAAGCAAAAGAGGGGCTGTACCCTTGATCTCATGGGAATCCAAAATGCCTGGAACAATTGCCTCGCTCTCAGAACCCATTATAGAGAACGGTATGGCGCGGCTTCCTAGGGTTTCCGTGACACGGCTCAGACCTTTAAAAGTCCGGTTTCGTGCTGTATCCGAAGCTGGCGAGTTGCCCTGCTGCGTTTGCTATCCAATCGCTATCATGCACTGTAGAATTGCATCCTTCGTCTAGGACTGCATACACGTGCTCTTCCTCGTAGATGTTTACTACGGGTAGGTCAATAAGGGCTGGGTGTATGTCAGTGACACCCTCTGTGCATGCAACAAACCCCTGCCTCGGCATCGAGGCTCGCGAGGATCGCGACCTCACCGATGCCACCTCCCAGCTATTGCTGGTCGACGGTGCGGCGTGGTCGTCCAGGGCTTCCTGCAAGTTCGCAATCAAATCGCCACGTGTTATAACGGGCTCCGTAACAAAATGCCCCTCCACTGTCTCCTGGAATTGGGCAATCGCCGGAACTTCTACTTCTACGGGTAGACTGTCCCCCGTGCCGCCGACGATACTTCGGAGCAAATCGAAGTGTGTTGGACTCCCGCAGCACGGTGGCTGCGTCATCCAGCAGCATGCCGCAAAGCTTACACTTCACGCGAGCGGTCTTCCTACTGCTGCCAGCCATCTCTGTGGAGGTGTGGGGACATGTGGCTTGGTCTACAACCTGTTTCTCCTTCTTGGTCTTCGTAACCGTCCCACACTTCTTGCATGTCCGCATATCTATGTATGCGTTGCTTCCTGACTTGCTGAACTCCTTGCAACCTCCCCGACACTTACGGGGGCCTTCGCTAGAAGCGGCGCTCAAGGCAGCAAGCTGAGCCTCGGGTTGGAAGGGTTCAGGCGGAGGCATATGGCTCAGGGGAAGTTCTCGCTTAACAACGCGAGTGGGCGTGTCGTCACGAACATCGAAGATATCGGTAACCCAAGCCAAGACATCCGCCAAGCCTAAGGATGGGCACTTCTGGGTCCTCCCAAATAACATATCCGGAGTAAGTGTAGAGGACTCGCTCATAGGTCAGCCCTTTGTGTTGTCCAAAGGAAAAAACCCGATCGGATCCCTCAGGCGGACTAGCCCGCATGATTCCCGCGCCGGCGGTGCGCCGGAGTTGCGGTGAGAACATATCCTCGCCCTGGCCTTTGCCGGTCTTTGGGGAAGACTTCGGCGTCAGCTCCAGGCTGGCAGCTGGCAGGATAACCCTCGAGCCTGCCAGCGCTCGCTGAACGCACTCGGTGCCCTTGGGACCATTGCCCTTACCGCTAAACTTGCAGGCGGCATCCCCGGCCCAATGGCCAAGTACTCCGCATTTGAGACATCTAGTTTAGCCTTGCGATCGGCTATCGTAAGATTGCGTCGCACAACCTTACCTCCGGACTTTCCTCCGGGCTTGCCTTTGCTCTTCCCTTTCCCCTTGGCCTGTGCGAAAGCGGTCTGTTGCGCGTATGCCAGCTGAACTGATTCTGCATACGAACCATCTAGGTCGTCGACCTCGGCCTCGAACGCTACCGCCGTATAGGCGTTGAGCTGCAGTGCCAAGTCCTCTTCGTCAATCCACTCCTCCGCGTCATCATCTCCGGGCGTTGTATAGCCGGATATGCCCAATCGCTGTAGCCACTCCCGCAGCCACTGCCGACTCAGGCGCCTCGGAGTAATCGGCCTCATACGCATTGGGGTCATACTCCATGTGCCCGAATTTCGGATACTGAAGCATACTGAAGCTTGGCATCGAAACGCCTCCAGGGTTTGCTGGGCCAGAGGAGTCTTTCTGCGTGAGAAGGCGCTCCTTCATGTGCACACCGGAATGATGCTGCACCAGGACGCGCCCGTACACTTCGACACTACGTGTACGAGCGGCGGTCTTGACCATAAGCTGCTCGGTCTTATCAAGGCCCGAGAGCTCAACAAGAAGGTTCGCTCGCATCGCCTCCGAGAGGCGGATATCGGGATCTAACTCCCTCAAAGTCGACCACCGCCGCTTTCGGCGGGCGATATAAGATAACATCGGTTCGCCCGGCTGTTTCGCCAGGGGACCAGTCAAGAGCTGTCCTTGACGGAAGAGCTCAGAAGCTTCTTCACTCTGAAGTGGAAATGCCTGTCGCCTGATCTCTTCGACCAAATGGTCTATGCCATCGTGCTGGAGTAGGAGCTCGATTCCGATGTCACGGGCTATGCAGAAAGCGTCTCCACGCAGTCCCTCAAGCACTTTCTGCACACATTCTGACATGTCAAGTTCGGTGTCTTTGATGTTCTGCAGGGTATACGTCGCCGGATCTGTAGCCGGTAACGACTCTGCATCACTGTCATCGGGCTCGGATGCAGGCTTGGCCCTTCTCACGCTCGAAAGGCTAGCGGGTATTCCGCTACTTGACTCACCCTCGGTGGGGTGGACGCTGCTTCCTTGGCTGGCTTTCCCGCGCCACTTTCTTGGCGACTCGCTTCTAGACTTGACTGCGGCAGCAGACCTCAAGTCTTGCAGGACCTCGCGGCGTTGTCGCTCGCAGTGCTGGAGAACTCGGATCTGTGTCCGGAATTGCCAGTCGTGGAAGCCTGGCGCCGTGCCGTCGTATATGTACGACCCTGACTTTGTCTCTGCCGGAACTAAATTTTGAGACCACGTATTTGGCTGGTAACGCCCGGCAACCGACATTGCTGGCTTGATAGGGGCTGAGCTCTCCTATCTGCCCCTACCTTCCAAAGGACCCTGGACACTGCTCTCAGGGGTGAAACGGGGTTAGCAAGGGCGGCCTCTTCCCGCTCCGCTACCAGTTAGCAACTGGAGACAGGAAGCTGAGTGCGCACCTTCGCTCAAATAGCAGAATTTTGATCTTGCGCTCAAGACGTGTGCGGCGAGTACATTCAGCTGAAGAAGCTAACGCATGTGTGTTTACACAAGCAAGCCAATTCAAGTACTACATGATGAAAAAGCAATGAGGATCGTCACCACGGATGATAATAACAGACGCAAATTTCTCAAATCTATACATCACTGGTGTCACCATCAACAGCCACAATGTGTTCACAATCGACATCTACAACGTCCTGCAAGTGGAGAGTGGAGAGTTGACTACTCCTGATGATATGATGCATCGACTTACTGATGGGGATGGTTCGTTGATAATGACTACGGATGAGGATGATTTATAGATGATGTTTTCAACAAGGATGAAAATGATGATAATGGCTATGATTTGAGGAAGGCCAGAATGATAATTTTTGAAAACTAATTCATTTAGGCTATGCCACCGTGTCCACGCAAGAATCTCATAAGAGTATCTCTCGAGAAATGACTCCGACCAAGCCTGCTACTCATCGGCACCTCCAAGCTGAGTTCTCGAGCAAAGTGACGACTTGATGCTCCTTCCAGTCACCGGCCTCCACATTCACGAATCGGCACTATGTCGCGGAGGACATCTGCCGTTCCATAGCACATGTTCTTTGTTATGGCTTGCATTGTCGTCGAATGGCCAAACATGTTTGCCCGCTTCTTCCATTTGCATGCTTGTCAAGCAAGTCTTTGACTTTGAGCCGGATGCCAGTTGCCAAATTGCGCCATCTGACATTCTTCTCGAAGCCGACACGCCGTCATTTTGACGGTCCCAAAGCTGACAGTGATGCAAGTTTTGAAACGCTCCTTTGCGACAGAAAAGAGCCTCTGCTTTGCCGCAACTATGAGCCACCCGACGGCTTTGGTCAGGAAGTCGCAGTGGCGAGTGAGGCTGATATCCCCTCTTTGGGAAGACCTCGTACCCTGAACAAAATGCACCTCCCTGGCATCAAAGCGTGCCAGCTCCAATGAAATCGAAGACGACCACCTCCTGGTCACGAGACTCAGCCGCTCGCATGCAAGCCTCGACTTAACGAGTCCTGGCCTGCTTGTCTCTCTGCTTGAACTTGTAAGCAAAGGATCCATACTCGCCACCCACCTTTAGGATACAACTCGGAAATCTTCCCTGACCGCATGACAAGGCTGCATTCTCTTCCAGCCTCAACCCCGGTCTTCGAGGACATTTCGTGGGGGGCCAAGTATGCGAATTCTTCAGCTCCACGTTTCTGCGGTCCAGGGCTTCAAGCAACAGCTCATGGCAGGATGAGGGCAGGGGCGGCGACGAGAACGTCTGCATGTGAGGAAGCACTCACGCAACTCTAAACAAGAGTGTGCCGCATGGCTGCAAGATCCTGCAAGCGTACGATCACTGACCAGTAGTAATGCAGATAAACAGCCATCCATGACTGCTTGCATGCATAGCTACTAACACACCCAGGCATAGAGATTGCTATACCATACATTGCTACACGACCACATGAATCAGATGCACAGATCTACAAACAAGCTCAAATCCGTCACGCTCGCGTTTTGAACGATGGCGGAGAGCCGGCCATGATCCCCAGTTCCTCAACCTCCACATCTGCTACTTCAGTGGTTACCATATGCGTCCGGGAGCCGGTGTCAACTGCTCAAGCTTACATAATCGCAACTCAAGAATTCATATCCACCGTCTGCAGATGAGCAAGGTGCTTCGTGCAAGCAGACTCTTGTATATTGGCATGGTTCTCTTCGGTGCTGCGTCTACGCCATGGAATGGAACTTTCAATGAGCTACCCCGAAGCTGTGAAGATTGCATTAGGCCTTGGCTCTGAGACTTGCTCGGCCGCCTTCAGGAACTCCAGAGTAACCTCGTGCCAATAGCCAATGTCATCGGGCCTTGGCTGAGATCTCGGCAGGTGCCCGCTTCAAAACCTGGTTCTCAGAGCACGACTCGAATGGGATCACTTCGCTTGTGGCATCTGGGCTTCTTCCTTTCACCTCTCGTCTTTTGAACTGCATTTTGGCCCGACCGACGGGGACAATGGCCTTACATCGCCGAAACAAGGAGGTCCATCCGTGACCGAGCAGACTGCAACCAAAGATGGACATCTTGCGTGAAAAGAGGCAATCAGTGCAACTATCTTCAACTCCTCGTTGAGATAGCAGAAACCTGTGAGCAAACGATGTGGCGATCTTTCCGTCTATGGCCAGCGGTAATTCACCCGCAACCTCCGTTCTCAAGCACAAAGGCCACAGGATTTTGATCCTCACAAGCACAAACGCACTCTGCATGGACTTGTTGCGACAAGGCCACACATGCACAATGTCTACATGTTACATGTCCTGCTTCAAATGGCGGAAGGTCTCCACCAACTCTGCCGGGGTGTTGCTGCCCAGTTTCAGCGGATAGATCCAGCAACATTCCTCTGCTTGCAAGGTTTGCCAGGGCCAGCTTGGACGTGAACATGCCACTGGCCAGTGCTCTCCTGAGCAAGAGCATCGATGCCCAAAGCCTTTCGCGTGGCATCGTCCGTGCCCTGCGGAGGACAGAGAGCTCAGAGGCCTTCGCTTCTCATCTCTTTGCTGGATACAATGTGCCAGCTGCATGGATGAAGATGTCCCTAAACCCTACCCCTCTCGTCTGGCCATCGCCTCCTTCGTGCCTGGCAGCCGCACTTTGCGCAGCGGCGAGCAGCGAAGTTCGGAGGCTGAGAGGCTGGGAAAGTTTTGAAGCACAACTGTTCAACGACCAAAGCTTAGCTGCTTAGCTGATGCCAGCGAAGCCCTATCGACCCGAGCTGGCCCGGACTGCTTAGACACTAGACCCCGTAGACAAGCGTCGAGGCATCTTCACCGTCGACCTGCAGAAATCGCAGATGAGTGCTGCTCGTGGTTGGCATGTTTATCGATTTTGCTCGCTAAATGACTTAGTGATGGCTCCCGACCATGCAGAAAGCAGCCACGATGCAGTCATAGCTTACACAGGGCTGCAATCAGGAAGCCCCGCGCAGAAGAATCACACTCGACCCACTGAAGGCCTTTTCCAGTCGAACAGCATCTTGAGCTTGTCGCTGGGATCGAATCGGAAAAACCTGCTTGCGTGTATCGCTGCCAAAGACTTCAATGCAAGGAGAAAGATGGAGAAAGGCGACAGCTGTCGTTAAAGGGTCCAGCGGCATCCCCGCCAAGTTGCTCCAAGCTCTCGGAGGAAACGCTCGTGAGGCTCAGTGGCCGCAAAGACTGCGGGAAGTCCACAGAGCTGCGCATCGACTGCGTCGTGTCCATGCGCGCCCGCAGGCCTCTGCAAGAGTGAGCAGAGCTGCATCGGTGCGTTCTTCATCGCTATCTCGTTTCAACGGTCCGACCTTCCCAAATTCCGCTGTGATCGATGGAATCGATGGCTTGCAGTACCTTGCAGACGTTCCGGGCCAAGTGAAGCTTTGAGCAATTCAGGCTCCTCGATGCTGAAAGAAAAAGAAAGCCTTGCTCAACGAATGTCCGCGCCACCGGGGACGGTCCGTTGTTCTTTATCCGTGCCTGAGAAGACGAAGGTCTCGGGAGAAAATCTCTGTCGCCCGCTGGCTGAGACGCAGGCTACAAAGTCACAAAACGGAGTCAGGACATTGAGCGTCTTGTCCTGAGGTTCTGGCTTGAGGGAGCCCAAGGCATGGAAGTGCGTTCACTTGATAATAATTTACCTTACTCATCTTGAATCTTGAGCAAGGTCGCCATCGATGCCATCGAGGCCCGAACAAGCTCAGGAGGCACGTGCCTCGACGCGGGAAGTGGTGGCACAGAGATTTGTAGTGCTACGGCTAGACTTTAGGACATGAGACGGATGCAGGGGACAACAAGCGGAGAGTAACGGTGCAAGGAGCAACCGTGCAAAAAGTCGATATGACAGCATCAAAAACATCGAATGTGAGGTCAGGAAAATTGGAAGTTGGTGAAACAGCTTAGGAATTGAGTTGCCTTCCGTCTGGTCCCTCCGCTCGTTCCTGCACGCGGCGCAGAATGGTCTGCTCGTCCGCTCCCTTATCTGCTCCAGATTTGGGGCTCAAGGGGTCAACAATGACTTATTAATCATGCGTTTGAGTTCTCCATACTTCGCCGCAGCAATCGGCTCGGACGTGACGGTACTCTTGTCCCTTGCAACGTCCAAAAGCACGAAGCGAACGAGTGACGACATACGAAACACCGCAAGCCTCCGGCACCAACTTCTCAGATTGAACGCAGGCAAGGGTCGATGTAGAATATGGCAATGTGGTAGTCCCGATACTTAGAACCTCAGGCCCAACGGCTGCGCTTCAAGAAGCCTCGCTTCTCCCGATGACCTCTGACCTGAACACGCAACCCCAAGCTTTAATTCCTCTGTCTTGCATGGAGTTTCAGCTTCGAAATGTCCTTGTCCTATTACACTTCTGACAGCTACAAATACGGCCTTGTAGGTACCTGCTTCAATTCAAGGGGTTGCGTCAGAATGCTTGGAAACGACATGAAGAAACCGGCGGCACGGCTGGGCTGCATACGGATCCTCTCGAACTGCTGCGCATACCATTCGGCATCCTTGAGTGATCCTGTGGCGCAGTGGCCGCCAGTCAACATGACGTGACCTTAAGACACGACACATTGCCTGAATTGAAGGCCAAGAAACCATCCACCCAAACGTTGAAGTTCTTCTGCATCGCAGCAGCCTGCGCAATCTCCATCATGTAGGCTGACCTCAGTGGCCAACGCAGACGGTGTATACTGGCATATACTGGCTGCAGGAGTTGGTGGTTTTGAGCGTCAAACTCTCGATGACAGTGGGTCGCTGCCATCTTCTTGTCATATCCTTTGTACTCAGGCATCCTTTCTTTGATCGCGTCCGGATCAATCTTCACCATGTTCTCCCTGGTCCGGCGAACTTCAAACAAATGCCATCTGCCGTCACATTGGGATAGAACCGCCTTCTAACGTGTGAAAAATGCGGACAAGTGTCTGCATGTTGAGGTAGCCTTCTTTGTTAAGCCATTGCAAAGTGAAGCTCCTGAGTCGAGAAGCAGTCGGGTACTAGTCGTGTCACATCGTGTAACAATGGCGGCGATACGTGGGCGTTGGGCTACCGAAGCCTGCGTCATGAATTCTGGGCCAGGAGCTTTCCCACTCCCATAGGTCCGCAGGTGTACAGCAGCCATGGATTCTCTTCCTTCATGCCTTTCTTCAGAAGATAATCGATCTGCGCATCCTGCCAGACTCCGTCGCTCGCATAGTCAAAGCCCTGGCATCTTTGCAAGAGTATCCGTGCATCTCCTGCCATATCTGACGGTCCAGATTGTAGAGACCATGATACTCAGCATCACACCTCGATTTGTTGCTTTCGTTGCCGTCCACGGAGCGTGAGAAGCTTGCTACTCTACTTCTGCCTCGCAGCCAAGACGCAGCTTTCGGAATGCACGATACTTGCTAGCATAACTGTCGCCTGAAACCTGACTCAGACTGGCACTGATGGGCAACCACTGGTACAAACAAGTTTAGTCTGTGTTAGCCTGGCCCTGTATCTCGTGGACGTAGTTCTCCTTCGTTGACTTCCTGAGAGTGCGTCTCTTCTCTCTCCATATCCATCTCGCGTCTTCTTCTGACTGGCGGTAAGGCGGGGCCCACCTAGTCACTCTCTCTGTCTCTCTTCCCTTGGCTTTAGGGCATGCGTCCCCAGGACTTTGTCTCACTGTTTCACACACTCTCTCTCTCTCCCTCTCCCCCTCCCTCCTTCCCTCCTTGGGGTATGAGTCCGAACAGGGTCGGACCCGCGCTCTGGGCGTCTCCTTTCCCTTCTGTCTTGAGAGAGAAGGACGCATCGGGGCTTTTAGCGCATGAGGTTTCTTACCCCTGCGATTTGGGAACACATGGTGTGGGGTTGTCGCTGACCCCCCAAGTCTGAACTTTGTCTTTCCAGCCTCATCACCTCCCCCTCTGAGGTCGCTGCAACAACTACCCCCCGAGCAGCCCTGCCAGATTGCACTTGTTGTTGCTACTCAGCATCTGAGCCCCGAACCTCGATACAAGATCTGCAAGACACACTACAATTGTAGGCGGATACCGATGTGAGCATTAGGTTGAGGTGGGTTTCCCCCGACGGTGCAAGAAGCAAAAACCAACAATAACTGTGCGGGAAGACAGGATGACGGAGGGTTCCCGTTTGTGTCGGGCTGAGCCTTCCCTATTTCGACGTAGGGGCAGTGGTCATGGCCATATGTGGCTATCCCACGGCAAGGCGCGTGTGTGCCAAGCATCCTTTCATTCTAGCTTGGCAGCAACGCGAATTCTGAAATAACCCGGCAAGTAACAGGTTATCCCCATGGCTTTCGTCCGGGTTTTTCTTGTGGCCTGTGAAGTGCTCGATTGAGTTCGCTAATGGCTTGGCATAGTTGTGACCGCGTGACCTCTGGTGGCATGCGCCAGTAGCTGGACGACGCCTGTTTCCACGTATCGTTTCAGTGGTGGCCAAACCGCAAAGCCTGTCTCCCCCCTCGTCGCTTCCCCCCTCGCGAGGCTGTTGCTGCTGCTCTCCGGTGGTGCGGGGCTGGCTGCTGTTTGGTTGTTGCTGTGATTCCTGTCTTCTCGCGGTGTCACAGGAGGCTCCCGTGTTGTCTGGACGAAGCTTGAGCTGTCGGTGGCAATGGGCACGGGTGGTTGTTGCCACAACGCTGCAGGCATCCGCGCTAGTTGGATCTGCGGCTGCAGAGGTCTCGTCGTTGTCCTTGGTAGCGCCTGCGGGTCCCGGCTCTCTGTGTGGGGCCGGGATTAACTTTGCACAAACAGTTGTTTCGACCTCGACGATGGCGCTGTTGTGCTTGCGACCTGCATAACAGGCACCCACTCCCACGCGGCTGCTGTGGTGCTTCTCCTGGTCTGCTGTTGCTGCATTGGCTGGTGGTTGGGCTCCCCCTGCAGGGCGCTCTGCTGGGGTGCTGAAGCTCAGCTGTTGCTGTCTTGGGTCTGGTATGGTCTGGTTGTGCTCGTGGTCGTCTGCCGACAGCTGGCCGGTGTGGGCTTCTCGGATAGTCATGCCCGGTAGGGTGCCGGAAGGGGAGGCCTCCCTGTCGCTGCTGTTGTCGCTGTCGCTGCCATCGGCTGCGTGGTGGTGGTTGTCGGTTTGCTTTGCTGGTGCGTGGGCTACTGCGTGGTGGCTGCGGTGGCTTTGATGTGGGTGCTGACGCTTTTGAGGTGGTGCATGCCCCCGCGCATGTGGACCCCAACCTGTTGTGGGGCGAAAGCTGAAGCACGAGGCAGAATCGCTGACAAGATTGCCGCAATGCAGCAAAAGGCGAATACGGAATGCCCTTGAAAAATGGATCGTCTTTCTCCTCACCTCTCTCTTCTTCTCCCAGGCTTGGCTTAACCCCCCATGCCCTCTGGGCATTTAGCCCGCCCGCTTCTGCTGACCTTTGGGCAGGTGTGAAAGTGTTGGATGGTGTATGTGGCTAAAAGCTGAAAAGTCCTACGACCACGATCATCCACTGGAATCTCCTGATTGGAAGTCATAGAAGCAATAGATAGGTACAAGCGATTATGTGGGGAATCCACGCTTGGATGTTGGGGTGCTTGTCAGACGTCCTTTGCAACTTCAAAACTGCTTTCATTGGAAGAAGCTTGTATCCCGCAACTTAAACATCGCGACCAAAGCTAACATGGTGTACACGAGTTTACACATCATCTCTCCCCCCAGAGCGGCTTGTTGAGCAGACATTACGAAAATTCACTGCCACTCCGGCTTGTTCGATTTTGTCTTCGGTGATAAACAAACAAACTGCGCGAACGTACGGCGTGCTAGAATGCACAACAAACTACCCTAAGGCCTTGAAGCAGCAGCTATGCAAAGCTCATTCCCGTGCGAAGCAAACTAGCCGGGAAAGTTCAGAAGTGCCTTTCTCTCACATAGGCAAAGTCATGCTTGCGCCAACATGATGTTGGCGGGGAGGAGGATAACGTTTTACTTTCACGCGCCGCCTTGAGACTAAAGTGCTTTACTGTTGCTCCCACACAAAGTGCACAACATGTAGGAGAAATATAAGGAATCAAAAGTGTGTTTCAGGCATGTTTGGTTGCAAAGTATGTTTCGCTGCCACTGCGGAGCAAGTCTGCAACGGCGCCTCCTATCTACAGCACAAAAAAGTTCGTAGTGCTCGTGTTGTCGGCCCTTTCAAGTGCAGCGACAAAGTCGAGTTCGTGGTGTCCAGACACGTATCGGCACAAGGTGCATCGACCATTGCCTGCATAGCAAAGTCAACGACCCAACCATACAAGGCGAAAAGTGGTCCAGAAAAATATCGCATGTCAATGTACACAAGGCTATGCAGAGCCCGAAAAGTTTCACACCAACCAAAGTCGTGGCCTGACCAGCTTGAACCAAAGCTGCCTGGGCACAATGTCCCAGTACTGCGCTTGCGTAGCGGCTCTGTAAAGTGATTTCGGCAAAGGAAGTTATTCTGACCCCAAACAGAGACAACGCTATGTTAGGGTAAGAAAGGAGAGGAAGGGAAGGGAAACCCCAAAAGAAGGACCCTGCCCTGAACGTGAAGGCACAGCTCAGCGGCGCCTTTTTCATCTTGAGCCAAAGTCGATGGCGTACTTAAGGCTTCAGAAGTTACATAGTCAGGCTACACTTCTTTACATGGAGGTTGTTCGTAAATCTTCAACTCCCCCCTCCTGACTTGAAACATCTGTACATTCTTGCATCGCAAAAGCTGACATACTATACAATGCACCTGGATCCACTGAATTAATGAACTGAGGAAAACAACCTGCCGTTGATTTCTTGACCGATGTGTCACGACACGGTCAGTGACGGTTGATTCCATGACCATCCTGGTGCGGCGCTAGGAGCAGCCAAACACCCAGGAGGTTTTGACATGTGAAGCTCAGCTTCGTGGGCATAAAGTGCTCAGCATCTTAACCCGATTTAACATCCAATCCAACCCAAGCTTAGCTATATGAGGGTAGAACGGAAGTTGACATTGTCAACAGTTGGAGCGCATGAGACCATTTCTGGACTGCCAACGCTTTGGTGAGAGGGTCGCCTCTCTGCTCACTCGTGTGGATATACTCCAGGATGACATTGGAGTTGTCATTGACATATTCACAAGTCGATGACACGTTTACACGGTGGGTTTTGCCTAAATGGCGAAGTTTGGAACTAAATCCCTTTCTGACGATAGCAATGCAAGCCTGATTATCCTCGTAGATATGCAAGCAGATCCCGGGGATGAGGGCCTCCCAGACTTCATGTAAGGGAATTGCATCGTTGTACAGAGCTCCACTTAGTGAAACGAACTCTGCTTCAGTACTGGAACGAGACACGACCTTTTGACGTTTACTCGACCATGATAACAAAGCGAAGCTTCCTGGGCCTTCGATAGCCAACACGTACCCGCTGGTGGACCGGGACGTGTCGATGCAGCCGGCGAAGTCGGAGTCACAGTAGAGGGACAACCGTAAATCAGAAGGAGAATCGCTGATGCACAAAACCAATGCGTAATCGACTGAATGTAGAATGTAACCGATCAATCGATGAACCCGACGGTCATCGTTCTTGGACCAGCTGCAGACGTGCGAAGCAAGCGTTGTAACTGCCACAATCAAGTCGGGCCGACTTAACCTTGCAAGCCATAACACCTTCATTAAGATTTTTGCGGCAACTTCGGTAAGTTGCCCGCGGCAATCGTCGTCTGCGGCAGGTAGTGTGCTAATGTCAAGATGGGGAGTAAGCTGAGGTTTAACCTTAAGCGAACATACAGTCTCGTACAATTGAACACACTGTTTTGAGAAATCCGTTGATTCAAGTGCTAGTGCTTTCTTTTTTCTTGCCAGCACACGAATCTGTGGCATCTTCCAAGTACCCTTGACAGTGCTGCGTACGGCTCGAGCTCAACCTCCTTGGAGAGGGAGCGCCAGAAGTCGTCATGCAGGGACAGACGTCCAGACAAAGTCAAGTCGTCTACGTAGACACACAAGACTAATCCTAGGGACTTGAAATAATAAACCGATGGGAGATTGGGAAACTCAACCCCGCCTAGCTTAACCAAAATCTCGTGGAGATGTTGCTGCCAATAGGCGGAACTTTCGGGGTGCCCATACAGCGCTTTGTGCAGGGGCGCGCATGGTTGGAATATGTGCTTCTTGTCGAGCGGGACTAGCTCTGGAGGTAGAAGGACGTACGTGCGGTGCTTCGTCTTGAGCTTGGCTTGTGTGTAAGCTCGTACGGCATCGCTGGTCGTCACGCCATGGGACTCCAGCAAACCGAAGGCAACCGCTGTGTTCAACCCTTCAAGTGAAGATGGGGATGATGCAAAAAGCTCTTCAAATACAGCAGACATGCCGGATTGGTCCCTGATATCATCACCCCTGAAGACGATTCTTGCTTTGAGGCGCCACTGATCAGGACTCAGCTCAGATCCTTTTACGGACAAAATGACCATCAAATATCCGAAGTGGATCACATTAGAAGTCCTAGTAGCCCATGCAAGAACATCCTTTTTGGACACTATCTCATCTTCAAGCCACGTCCCAACATCAACAAGGCCATCTTTCTC